AGGGAGCCCAGGCCACCCCCAGGGGCCAGCTGGTGGCCCAAGCACCGCTACCCACAGCATGCCCAGCGCTTCAGAGGAAGGTGTGGGCTGACCAGGCCCCCAGCCCCAGCGAACCAGGAGGGATGCTGTCCACCCTGTGACGTGATGCGTCTTTGAGGGTGGTCAGGTGCTCGGGCAGGGCTGACTGCCCAGCAGGTGTCGGTGGTGGCCTCGCCTCCCTCCTCCCTCCCAGCTCTGTCCCCTGCTGCATGGCCAGGTGTGCTGGTGGCTGTGACTGGCTCCACACAGCTCTGTCCCCCTGCTCTGCCCAGGGCCCTGGTGAAGGTTCGTGGGGCACGCCCCTTCGTCATCTCCCGCTCAACATTTGCTGGCCACGGCCGATATGCTGGCCACTGGACGGGGGACGTGTGGAGCAGCTGGGAGCAGCTGTCCTTGTCGGTGCCAGGTGAGAGCCCTGTTGGGAGGGGGTCCAGGCCCCTCTCGGGAGGTGTATCCAGAGCTGGGCGCTGGGCTCAGCAGGGCTCAGAGACACACTGCTGCAGTGGTGGGGGGCACCGCTGGGTACCTGCGCACCTGTACAAGTAGCCTCACCTGTGCAGGTGGCTCACCTGTGGCCCTCCTCTTCNACTCATGTGGAGATTCGGGGCCCACTGGGTACCTGAGCACCTGTACAAGTAGCCTCACCTGTGCAGGTGGCTCACCTGTGGCCCTCCTCTTCCCAGTGTCCCCATCCCCATTCCACCCAGCCCGCCAGCAGATTCTCGCCTCCACAGTGTCCCTTCTGGCCCCCACATCCTGAGCTGTAGGAAACCACGTTTGAGCTCAGTCTGCTGGGTGGCACCTGCCCCACTGGTCTCAGCACCTGCTCCACCCTGCAGAGAGGAGTTTGACGTTTGTGTTCTCTCTGGGATCCTGGGTGGAATCCCTCCTGCCTCTGCCTGCTGCTGTCCACAGTGCTTGACCTCTGTCATTTCATGGCTTTCTCCCTGTGTCTCCATCTTCTTATAAGGTCACCACTCACATGGGATTAGAGCCTAGTGACCTCATGTTAACTTGATCACACCTGCAAAGACTGTATTTCTAAATAAGGTCCCAATCATAGTACTGGGTCTTAGGGCTGGAAGGTTATCTTTTGGGGGGACGCCATTCAACCCGAGCAGGCTGGTTTGCTCTGCCCACCCCTGCCCAGGTGTCAGGGCTCAGCCTGCACAGCAGGTACAGACTGTCCTGCCGCTGACCCCTGTTAGATGGTGCAGAGGCCAGCGCAGGACTGACTGAGGGGCGTGGGAGGGGTGCGGCCTGAGGCCCCCGCTGACTCTGCCCCGCAGGAGTCCTGCTCTTCAACCTGCTGGGGGTGCCCCTGGTGGGGGCGGACGTCTGCGGCTTCCTGGGCAACACGTCGGAGGAGCTGTGCGTGCGCTGGACCCAGCTGGGCGCCTTCTATCCCTTCATGCGGAACCACAACGACCTGCACAGCCTGGTAGGCGGGCGGCAGGGGGCTTCTGTTTTGGGACCTGGTTCCTGACGGGTGTGCAGGTAGCCTGGAGCCTGGTGCCTCCTCTGCCCCTCTGTCCCCACCGCTGCAGCCGCAGGAGCCGTACCGGTTCAGCGAGACGGCGCAGCAGGCCATGCGGAAGGCTCTTGCCCTGCGCTACACGCTGCTCCCCTACCTCTACACGCTGTTCTACGGCGCCCACGCCAGGGGCGACACTGTGGCCCGGCCCCTCTTCCTGGAGTGAGTGCCCCAGGTCACGGATGATGGCCCACGATTGCCCTGGGGGAGGAGGTGACCGTGAGCCCAGTGACATTGGGGAGCCCGTCCTGCTGCAGGGGTGTCCCTGGAACCAAGCGGGACCAGGTTACAACTGAGTGAGCCGAGGCCAAAACCTGGGCCTTTCCTACTGGGGTACCCCCTGCACCCTCAGTTCCCAGCCCTTAAAAGCCAGCTCAGGGCTGGGGGCATTCGAAGTCCAGAAAAGCCCGGGATGAAGAATGCTGAGCAGGGACCAGGTCCCCCAGGGGAAAAGCAAGTTAAAAAAACTATCACATTTGCACCCATTTGGGGCTGGTCAAGGGAAAACGACCCCGAAACAGGACTTGGTCACATACGAGAAGATACTGTGCCTTAGAGTGGCCTCTTAAATCAGTGGCCTAAAGGGTCCTCACGTGGTAAGGTCATTAGTTAGCAATTTGAAAAATCAGGTTACTTTCCCCTCTGCCCACAAACTGAAGTTCCAGTTGGGTTAACTAGTTAACTGTTGAAAATGAGCTGCAGCAATGGGACAGGTGTGAGCATGTCCCAGGGCTCCAGCAGGAGACGGCTTTCTTAAGCAGCAACAGCAGAGAGGAAAGGGAGGCAGGTGTAATTTGGAAAAACAGAAATTGTGAAGGCAAAGTAGAGGAGATGTTACCAATAAAATGACAGATACTCTCCCTAGTCTGTAACCAACTCAGCGCTGGTCAGACCAAGATTAAGAACAGATAGATAGGAGGCAAGGACAGTTTGTAAAACAGGAGTCGTGGGTGGCTTCCTCCTGGTCTGTCACTGTGCCGATGGGGAAGGGTCTTTCAGGCTCCCGTGTTGACCGCAGGCTGGATTGGCCCCGCCCCGCCTGAGTCCTGGCTTCCGGGGCTCCCCGCACTCGGGCCCCGCTGCTTTCCCAGCCTTGCTGCAGCCTCTCGAGCGCACTGACCTCAGGCCTCCATGCCCCTGTCCTGTCTGTGGAAGGTTCCCTGAGGACCCCCGCACCTGGACCGTGGACCGCCAGCTGCTGTGGGGCGAGGCTCTGCTCATCACGCCGGTGCTTGAGGCCGGGAAGGTGGAAGTGACTGGCTACTTCCCCTCCGGCACCTGGTACGACCTGCAGGCGGTGAGTCCCGGGTCCCTATCCCCAAAGGGGTCCCTCCTCCTTGTCCTGTGGGTGTGGATCAGAGAGTGAGAGAGGAGCCGTGTCTGCCCCGGTGGCTCAGGGGCTTCACCTGGGTGCTCTCCGGCTTCACCTGGGTGCTCCCTGGCTTCATCCCTTGAAATCCTTGCACGAACCCATTTCCCAGATGAGCAGGCCTGAGCTGTAACTTTCCAGGGCCCTGTGGGCCTCCCTGCTGCAGGAAGAGCTGGGACCCCACTTCTTTTGCTCCCAACATCCTGCCCCTCCCAGTGTCCTCTGACCTGCTCCCACCCAGGCCGGGGATTCGGGCAACTCATGCCCTGTTCCCACTAAGTGGCCAGGTCTCTGCCTCTGAGGTCACATGGGGCTTTGGAAATGACCGGGACCCTTGGTGATGTGCCATCCCCATCCAGGTGCCAGTAGAGGCCCTTGGCAGCCTCCTGTCTCCACCTCCAGCACCCTTCAAACCTGCCATCCACAGTGAGGGGCAGTGGGTGACGCTCCCGGCCCCACTGGACACCATCAACGTCCACCTCCGTGCAGGACACATCATCCCCCTGCAGGTACCCAGGCTGGACACCTGGGCCATCTGTCTGGGGCTCACATTGCCTCTTTTCTGCTGAGGGTCCAGCCCCAGGCCCCAGGCAGAGATGGTCGTGTCTGAGGTTAGAGGAAGAGCAGGTCCAGGGCGGGAGGCTCAGGGTATAACTGGGCTGGGGCTGGGCCTGCTTTGTTGGCCTTTTTTAGGAGTCAGCTGGTCTGCGAACGTCTGTGGTCCTCTCACGTCCTCCAGGGGTCCGCTGGGGACAGGCTGGCCTCCACGGAGGTCCAGGCCACTCCACTGCAGGCCATTCTGCAGACCCTGGTGCCTGGGCCTGGGGCTGTCCCCACACTGTTCTTCCTGCCCTGGGTCTGGAGACTCTGCCAGGCTTGCAGCACTGACATGTGCCACCCTGTCTCCAGGGCCCTGGCCTCACAACCACAGAGTCCCGCAAGCAGCCTATGGCGCTGGCCGTGGCCCTGACCTCAAGCGGGGTGGCCCGAGGGGAACTCTTCTGGGACGACGGTGAGAGCCTGGGCGTGCTGGAGCGCAGGGCCTACACGCAAGTCGTCCTCCTGGCCAGGAATGTGAGTCCTGGACCTGCACTGGCTGGGATGCCCCAGGGGTGACTGCGCTGATCTGGGGTGGGGAGCCGGGCCTGGGGCCCTGGGATGGCCACCTGTCCCCTGGAGGGTTCACCCAAGTGCAGGCTGTCTTTGCCCATGGAGGAGAAGGGCCTGAGGGCCAAGTGCCCTGGCCTGAGTCCTGAGCACTCTGCCAGCACATCCAGGGCTTGTGCCAGCTGGCCGGGCCATAGTGCCCACCTGCCCTTCCTGTGTACTGTCCGGAGCCCTATCCTTGGGGGCTTCCTGCCAGGCCATCTGCTCATACCCCCGGTTCTGTCTGTCTCTCTGCGGGCCCAGAATACCATCGTGAATGAGCTGGTGCACGTGAGCAGTGAGGGGGCCACCCTGCAGCTCAGGAAGGTGACGGTCCTGGGTGTGGCCTTGGCCCCCCAGCAGGTCCTCGCCAACGGTGTTCCCGTCTCCAACTTCACCTACAGCCCTGACACCCAGGCAAGAGCCCACAGGACTGGCCATAGGGCTTGTCCCCCAGGTGGTGAGGGGCGGGAGGTGCCAGGGCTCCTGGTGACACCGTGTCCACCCAGCTGGCATCACAGGATATGCTGTTTAGAAGCCAGGGACACTTGGGCCTCACGAGGGATGGGGAGGGACTGGATCCTTGTGTGGGGGGAGGATCGGCCCCCTTGCACTGTGTCTTCCTTTTGCCTGTGTCTGTGTGGATGGCAACTTGGTAAATGGCTTAGTAACGCTGCCAGTGCCGAGGGCATTGTCCCATCAGCTGGGGAGGGGACAGTTAGAAGTCTCCTCGAGTGGCCACCTGCTCGTGTCCAGACTCCTGTCTGCCGAGCACTGGGGTCTCCCCCCTGCTGGCAATGGTTTGGCGGCCAATGGTTCTTTCTCCTTCCCAGACCCTGGACATCCCTGTCTTGCTGACCATGGGACAGCAGTTTCTCATCAGCTGGTCTTAACCGGGGCCGTGGAGAGTGGGGCCTTGAGTTCCCACCAGCCCGGTGCTCGCCCCCTTCCATACCCAGCTCTGCTCATGTGTCTACCTCCTGTGCTGGGGCCCTGGGCTCACGGCACCTGAATCAGTTTTTGGACCCAGACCTCAAGTCAGGTCTGTGCCCTGAGGGTCGCCTGGATTTGGAGCGTTTCACTGGAAGGCTTGTTCTCCGAGGCCCGTCACTGGGATGCCTGTCACATCAGCCGCCCCCGGGGGCCTGCCCGGATGGCAGGGAAGGTGGTGCGTGAGGACCATGTGGTACCTGTGCCCCAAAGTCAGGCCCCGGGGCTGCTGCTGCTCTGACTGATGACAGGATGGAGCTGGGTGGCTGCTGTCTTAGGAACTTGGAAGAATTCACAGGTCTGGGGAAACCTCTTGAAGTGCAATTATTTGTAATAAAAGGGGGATCATAGCCAAGCCTGTGTGGTCCTCTGGCAGCCTGCGGTTTTGCCTTTTCACTTTCATGTCTTTTGAGGAGTGAAAGTTGAGTCTAGCTTGTTTTTTACGCCCTTTGAAAGAAATCTTTGCCAAATCCAGAGTCCCTAAGACTTTTCTCCTGTTTTTGTCTAGGACAGTTATAAATGCAGGTTTTCCAGCTGGGTTTGGTGTGTGTGAAGTAACGGTCACGGTTCTCTTTTCCTTTCTTGCATACGGCCAGTTGTTCCAGCACCGTCTGTTAAAAATACTGTTTCTCCACTGAACTGCCTCAGCACCTTTGTTGAAACCGCCCCCCCCGTATACCTGTGGTCTTTTCTGGACCTTCTGTGTCCCAGGGACCCAGAGGCCTGTCTTCAGGCCAGTCCACACAGGCTTTGGTAGTATTTCTTGGTATCGGGGAGTGCAAGCCCCCGGCGTTGCCCTCTTTTTCGTAGTTGTTTTACTCCGCTAGGTGCCTTGTATTTCCATATACGTTTCAGAAACCGCTTGTCAACATTTCCCTCCCCTCAAAAATCTCGCTATTTTGAGCAGGATTGTGTTGAACCTATAGATCAATTTGGGGAGAACTGCCATGGTAAATAAGGACTGTTCTGGTGGATTAGGACAGCATCTCTCACGTATTTGCACCTCTGGTTCCTCATGGCGACGTTCTGCATGTTTTGTCAGACGTAGCCCTAGCCGTTTCCCGTGTTTGATGCTATTGTAAAGGGGCTTCTTTAAATTTCCCTTTCCGGCGCTCGATGCTCGCACACAGGGGTGCAGGTGGCCTTGGGATGTTGACCTTGCCGCCAACCTCCCCTAGACTCTGCCCCCGGTAATAGTTTTTGCTGTGGAATCTGCCCACCACCAACACATCCACTCAGGTTCATGGTGCCTCGTGTGGAACCCCGGTGTACTTTTCTCCATTTATTTTGCTTTAAACTTTTTTGTGACTTTATACGGGGTGGGGCTAAAGTAGGTTTAGTCATTTTGTATTACTACTTATTACTGTATTATTTTCTGTATGAACTGTAAACTTACGTTTGCCCCACCCTGTATTTAAGACTCTGCTTTTTACTTACTGTGATTTTTATACTTGGGTCCGTTTCAGTAGCTCACTGACCCACAGTAAGTCCTGCTGAGGCGAGTTCTTCCTTCCAGGGGTTGCCCAGAGACCCAAGGCCAACCTGGAGCATGTTCATGCCACAGTCCTCCCCTCCTCCGTCCATAAGGAGTGCAGTCAGGCAGGAGACAGGGCTCCTCTGCTGCTGCCTTCCTGGCTGGAGACGGGCTGGACTGTGGGCCGCTGAGGCTCGGCAGCCACTCCCTCTGCCGCTGCTCAGTGACCACCCTAAACACTGTATCTGAGTCCCCAATAATCACGCTGTGTTTGGAATTCATAGAGATTCCTTCCACGAACACACAATTTCAGGTGCTTGAGGGAGAAGAGCCTGATGAACTTTAAAAATATTTCCAAGTCCCTGTGTCCTAGATGTTGAGACTATCGCCCATCCCAACAGCTTGGGGAGGAGAGCAGCGCTTTCCCCGCTTCTGCTTCACCTGAGAGCTCAGCAAGCGGTAAACGACCCGCTGGGACCGCACAGCAGGTTACTGAACGCTGTTGGCACCCTAGGAAATGGAAATGAGTTCATGGGCAACGTTTTAAATGTTTAATGAAAAAGACCGAGAACAAAGCATTATTTACATGGGTCAGAAACGGCGGCAGAACCCTGGGCGTGACCTGGGGGCAGCAAGAGGAGGGTTGGTGCATCTGCCCTTCCATAGAAACTGCCCTGAACAGGTCCCGAGGGGGAATCAGACAGGCTCAGTTCATCCTCAACGCCTCTGGCTCTTCAGATCAGATCGGCAACTGAAAGCAAGAAAACACCGACAAAATGAAAACGCAGATCTAACTTAAGGGTCGTAACAGACTTCTCAAAAACAAAACAAAACAAAACAAAAGCCCCCCTCCACCCGCGCACCGTTCATGGGCATCTCGTCAATCTGCGTGGAGTAGTACTGCTCGATGTCCCGCAGGATGCGGATGTCATCATTCTTGACGAAGTTGATGGCCACTCCCTTCCGGCCATACCGGCCCGATCGCCCAATTCTTCAAAAAGAGCAAAATTACGTCAGTAACTACCACAGAACATTCCAGTAAGTCCACTGCCAAGAGCGATGTGTGGGAGAGCCTGCGCCCGTACCTGTGTATGTACAACTCTCTGTTGTTGGGCAGGTCGTAGTTAATGATGAGGGACACCTGGGGGACATCCAAGCCCCTGGCCCAGACGTCTGTGGAAATGAGCACCCGGCTGCAGAAAGAAAAGGCGTGGGGGCAGTCACCTCAGTCACAAAGCTCAAAACTGCATACGAGCCCAAGATGTATCCGGCTACCTCCACCTGGGTCCCACAGCAGTGGGAGGAGCGAGGCAACTCTAGAAAGACCTGTTCGAAAGGGCACTTGGCCAATGTGGAAACTTAGGACTAGATGCTCCAATTAAAAGACAGTGACCATCACAGACTAAGAGCAGACAAACCCAGCTGGGCCGCTGCAGGACACACCCAAAGCGGAGGCCTCGACCGTGATGCAGAGGGTGCGAGCTTTGTAGAGCTGGTGTGGCTGAGCAGGGAACAGAATGACGACACAGGCATGACTAACACAAACGCTTCCTGACAGTCAAATCGTCCACAAACCCAACACTTCTGATCCACATGCAGTCTCAAGACACACACACAATTGGCAGCTGGAACTGAACGGTGTGCACCGGACCCTGAGTGCTGACCACACACAGTGCCTGTCCTGCTCAAGTGCACAGAATACGTGTGAAAGGACCCAGGCACTGTGAGTATGTTACACAAAGCATGTTCTCTGACCACAATGGAACAAAGCTAAAAACCAATTACAGAAATAAACAGAAATCCCATTTGGAATCAAAGAAGTAGCCTTCTCCATGAGGCACCAACCTACCCCGTGAGGGCTCGTCACCCCAACCCAACCCGTCAGCCGCAGGGCCCCACAAGCACAGGAGAAGGGATGGCCCAGAGCCTGGCCTAGGTGCAGAGGGTGCCCACCCACCTGGCACCGGAGCGAAACTCCTTCATGATCGACTCCCGCTCCTTCTGTGGCATGTCCCCGTGCATCGATGACACTGTGAAGTTGGCTTCTCTCATTTTCTCTGTCAGCCAGTCAACCTACCAACCAAATTGGCAGACGCAATGTAAGCTCGTAAACAAAGCAGAGACAGTCCTCCGGACTTAACTGCCATTATTTGCAGAGGCAACGAGACCACTCATGCAGCCAGGGCTCTAAAGCTCAGCCTAGTTGCTACTGCATGTGGAGAAAACTAACTGCCCAGCAAGTGGTGGGGCAAAAACCCTCTTAATGTGTTCACCTGGGAGCATGCCACGACCCGGGTCACCTAAAACCAGTGACACGAGAACCTTCAGTAGAAGGACTGGCATCAACACTGTACAGTTTCACTGAACACGCTCTGTTCACAGCTCGTCCATGGCTTCTGTGCTAAAGGGCAGAGTGAGGAGCTGTCCCGGAGCTCACGTGCCCACCAAGCCTGAAGCACGGACTTCCGGCCTCCATATGACATCTGCCCCAAGTTCTGCAGTTCTCCCCATGAGGGTATGAAAGAGCCAGGACAGCGCACCTTCCTCTTGGTGTTGCAGAAAATGACCGCCTGGGTGATGGTCAGTGTGTCGTAGAGGTCGCACAGAGTGTCAAATTTCCACTCTTCTCTTTCAACTGCCACGAAAAACTGCTTGATGCCTTCCAGGGTCAACTCATCACTGCAAGACAGATGAACCATTACCACCCCCTCTTCCAGCCAGGCCTGGAAGGCAGCGCAGGCCAGGTACCACTGGACCTCCAGCCGTTCTGGCCTGGTTGGCCACACCCTCCTAGAAGCCACCACTTCTCCCACACGGGCCCAGCTCTGAATCAGAGCCAACAATGACCACCACCCTGAACACAGTTGGAAACAGAACATTCCACTCTCCAACAGGATACTCATGTTACTCTCAAATCACCAATAAACACCAGCAGCTAATTTTTAAATTTGGGATTACAGGGTCAACAGGGAACGCAAAAAAAAAAAAAAAAAAAAACAGCTGGCTTTTCGAAAAAGAAAATTAGGACTTCGTGTTTTAAACCCAAATGCAGCCCCAAGTGCCTGTTTAGTGCCTCTGGGGAGACAGGCAGTGCTCACCGCTTCACCAAGATGCGGATGGGGTCCGTCATGAACTTGTTGGTCATCTCCAGGATCTCGTGCGGCAGTGTGGCGCTGATGAGCACCACCTGCGTGGCTGGGGGCAAGTACCTGTACACGTCATAAATCTGCTCTTTGAAACCTGGGGTAAGGGAGACGGGAAACTGTAAGGCTCACACCTTGACACACACGGTGCACATCCAATCCTCACTTTTAATTAGATGCAGAGCTGCGACTGTAAGACTAAGATTTCACACAAAAAACTTTTCCCCACAGCTCAGCTCACTTGCCGGTCACCTGTGCTGACCAGATGCATAAAAAGCACCATGAGTCTGCTCTTGGTGACAGGCTGCTGTGCTGGCTGTGATCAGCCTTACAAACCCGACCACAAAAAGACAAAGGTGTAAGTTTTATGTTCCCATGGACACACCACCCCTGCTGAGAGCCCTTTCCTCAGGTCCACGTGTCCACCCTGCACTGTGAATATCTGGAATCACACGTCGGCAGAAAATCAGTTCTTCTGTTACCCACCTTTATTCAACATTTCATCAGCCTCGTCTAGAACCAACATTTTGATGGCGCGTGTCCTGAGACTCCTGCGACGAATCATGTCTACAAAACCAGGTTTAGAAAGAATCAGACCCTGTGCTATGAGCAGGAAAGCACTGCCATTTCAGAGACCTCCTCCTGTGTCCTACATGTGACCCAGGCAGGCAGGCAGTGCGAGGAACCGAGCGCGGCCTCACCGGCACCTCTTGCAGCACAAAGCACTCACCAAAGACCCGCCCAGGCGTGCCGGCCACCACGTGCTGCCCGTAGTCCAGCTTCCGGATGTCCTCACCCACGTTGGTGCCCCCGATGCAGGCGTGGCACTGCACATTCATGTAGTCGCCCAGCGCAAGCAGGCCCTGGGTGGAGGACAGGGTCATTTCCACTCCAAGTTAACATGACCACCACGCACTACTCATGCCACTCTACACCACAAACAGCCCCACTCTCCTTCCCCTACCCTTTCTTCTCTTTCTACGAAATCTTTCTGGAGTAGAGAATGAAGCTAGTTTTAATGGTTTCTTACTACAAAAGCAATACATGTTAATTGCTGAAAAACCAGGAAATGTGTAAGATTCACACTCCCACCCACCCAGAGACAATATTAATGTATAGCTTTCCACAATGTTCACAGTAGTGTAAAATAGTTCTTTTATCAAAATGGGTTTTTGGTATTGACAAGAATTGTAATTCTAAGACTGCCAAACACTACTGGAATCACAGAAGCTACACTAAAAACGACTTAACACAAACCAGCAATTCGTGCGACAATGATTTATGGCACAAACGTCAGGACTCAGGAAGAGAGGTTTGAGGGAAGAGAGAAACAGGGTTCGACAAGTCTGTCAGTCAGCCTCACACTGGCTTCTGGGGCAGGACCTGTAAGTGACCCTCAGCACCTGGGGGCTGCCTCACCTTCTGGATCTGCACAGCCAACTCTCTCGTGGGGGCCAAGATCAAAGCCTGGGTTTCACGAACCTGCGAAATAATTGCCAGGAAACAGACTCTTCAGTATTTTCAAGATGGACCACCCTAACTCAGACTCAGGTTGGTTTCAAGTATTATTTTGCATCAACTGCACATCTGATTTCTAACAGAGGTGAACAAAACGTAACATCCCCGAAACCGCAAACCCAGCAGTAACAGGTGTGCTGGTGAGCAGTCTCGTCTGCAGACAAGAATGTCTACTAAAGGATCCCCCGCCCAAATAGAATGGAATTTATGACAGTATCAGCTCAGACACTAGTGTGCAGTTCAGGCTCTTTATATAAAAACTGTGCTTCTGAGCACTGCCAATTCAGAGGAAAAGGGAGCACCTCCCAGGACAAAAGAGCAACAAGTCACCTGGATGTCCAAACACTGGAGGACGGAAATGCTGAAGGTGGCGGTTTTGCCTGTGCCAGACTGAGATCTAGGAGAGAACACAAAGGTAAGGGGCTTGGAGCCACGGGCCATGCCACTGTCCCTGTTCAGAGCCCACCACAGCCGTGCTGAGGGGTGGGAGCACAGGCAGCTTCTTCTAAGCAGATGCCCCTCCCCCCACCATCCAAACAGACCACCACCACAATGGCAGGGGGTGGGACACAGGCACAATGCCACCACTTTTAAGCTCCCAGTGACAAGGAGCTTTTCAGCAGGGCTGATGGAGCTGCAGAATCTGACCCCAGCAGGTAGCATTCCCTTTATATGAGTATGATCTGGACTGAGACTGTCCTCCAACTTTTTTTTGGTAAATGAGTAAATTTAAAAATTAGGTAAATCAGGAATAAAGCTATTTATAAAAAGTATTACATACAATTCCACATGCCAACCAATAGGCAATAAAGCTGGCTAAAAAAACGAAAGCTTTCTAGGAAAGAGAACACAAAAATACAAATAAAACACCCTGGGGCTAAAGTCAAGGAAACAGATAGTGACAAGTACATAAAAACAAAAATGGTCACCCAAAACATTTAACTATACGGTGGACCCTTCAACAACACGGGAGTTAGGGATGCCAATTTCCCACAGTCAAAAACCCACATATGACTTTCCACTCCTCCCAAACTTAACTGCTAATAGCATACTGTTGACCAGAAGTCTTACCAATAACATAAACAATTGTCAATGTACTGCCTACGTTGCATACTACATTCTTACAATAAACCTGGAAAAAGGAAGTGTTACTTAAGCAATTGTAAGGAAAAAACATTTACTGTATTTAATGAAAAAAAAAAAAAAATCCATGAATAAATAGACCCATGGGGCTCAAACCCGTTGTTCTAGGGTCCACTGGACTTGCTTTACAACCAGCATCTGACTCCCTGCCGAGCAAGCGGACTTACTGTGCAATGACGTCTCTCCCTTTAATTATCTGCTTGATAGCTCGCTGTTGGATTGCAGACGGTTTTTCAAATCCTGTAAACAGAAACAGAGAAAGTTAGCTCCAACCACCAGGCCAGCATGTTTACAACCAGACACTGTGAGCTCCCTGGGGCAGAGATGGACTCTTTTAACCACCCCCCAGCCCCTGCCTAAACCAATGTTCAGCACACTAAGCTCTCACAAAACAGCTGCTGAAGGAATTGGATGATGCAGATTTTTATGCTGTCTAACATGGGATCTTATTTGTACAGAAAAACCTCTGTAAAAGTGACATCCCTGTAGAATATACAGAGCCCAAGAAGTTTAAAATAAACAAAATGTTAGTGGTTGTACTCCTGGAGGATGGGTGGGGAGGCTCACTTTTTACTCCAACTCCGTTATTGCGTTAACTACCTTACAATAACCCACTTCACTTCTTTTCCTTCATTACTTTTTAAATTAAAAAAAGGAAACTCAACCTATTAGTGCTGTAGTCACCACGCTTTTCCTAACCCACTGCTGGGGCAGCACTGCTCAGTGTCCTGCACCCCCATCCCTCTTTCACAGCAGCCTAAATCACCAAGGGACAGGGCTATTCTGAAGGAGTGCAGGTATTCTCCAAGCAAACAAAACTTTATGTACAAAACCGTACTTTAACTATTTTTGGTAGATTTTAAAATGTAGTACAATTTCCCACCTAAAACAGAGGCAAATGTAGCGGATGACTCAACCCCCTCCTGACCACCAGGCACAGGGACCGGCAGGGATGTCCCGGGTGCCAAGAGGCAGGACAGCTGCCAGCCTCCCTACCCTGCCGGGCTGCAATGGTTCTTTACCTCGCACCCCCTCAGTAGCACCTCTGCTCTGCCTAAACTGTGGTCATACGTCTGGGACTGCTGGATAAAAGAAGTCCCAGCCCCAGCCTGAAGCACAGATGCAGACCACTCCCCAGGTCTTCCCAGCTCGGACAACTGCCTCCCGACATCGCCACGGGGACCGCTCGTGGGCCCCTCAAGTTCACCACGTCCAAGACAGAGCCCCGATTTTGCCTCCTTCAAGGGCTCCCCGCCTAAGCTCATGGCAGCATCGCCTGGGCCTGGGCCGTCGCTACTCACAACACCCAGGAGTTACTCAGGCCCTCTCCCCTCTGCCGCTCACACTCGCCCACCAGCGAGCCCTGCTGGCAGCGCTCCACCCCCACCACACCGCCCCTCTGCCCTCTCCCCCCCTTAAACCCTTCACCGCCTCGCTTGGCACTTTGCAAGGCCTGGCCCCGGCCTCCCTCTAACTCACCCCCGGGCTCCTTTCTGTTCCGGGGACGGCCCGGCCGCGGCCCCTGTCCGGCTTCTCCAGTCTTCTCCTCTCGGGCCCCCTGACCCCGACCTCAGCTCTAACGCCGCCTGTGCCGCGAGCCCCCTCACCCATCTCCTTCCATCACCCCGCTTCGCTCTCTTCAGTCATCACTCCGCCTCAAGCTGCAGCCTTGGCTGCGGGCGACTGTGTCCCAAGAGTAACCTGACCGCTGCACGAGCTCAAGCCTGGCCGGCGCATGCTAACCCCCCGGGGCCTGGCGCAGCACGGGGGCCGCGCACCAGCGGCCGTGGACGGCTCTCCGCCGACACAGCGACCCCGAAGCGCC